CTTTGGTCAACTTTGGTTGTTTTTAAAGTGCTTAACAAATAAAGTTGGATTGGATTGGATTGGATATATTGTTAATTAGCCCAACATTACTGTTCTCTGTCTCACTGGAACACAATTTATTTTCTCATTTCCTTGTATTGTAAGTACTTTACCCCATATGTAAAAACTAATTATACTGTAATTTGTAGGGTATAATATAAGTTTTTTTTATTTAAGGGAACTGTTAGTTTAATTTTGTTTGGTTTATTTAGGCTGGTGTGAAAGTGTTGTCTGTAATGTGTAGCTTGTTTTATGGCAGAATAAAACCAAACCAAAGTCCTGCAATTAAACTCTAGCGCGGCGTAAACAACCAAGACCGCCTGAAAAGGAGGGTCTCAGTTGTGTGGTTCATTCGGGGTGTGAAAGCAAAATGGACCAACCACTGAATTTTATGATAGTATAAATGTGATTTTAGCAGCCCAACTACTGTTTAACCCTGTACAAAAAATCTTAAGATGCACCCAACAAACAGATGGTGGTGCTCTTTAAGAAAAGGGTTAAAAATCAGTAATTTACTGTTTAATCCATCTGGTTATTGTGAGCTGGTCCATGTATTTTGATAGTTCCTTATTAAAAAGAATGAAAAATAGGGACCACACAGTAAAAGACACATCTTTTGTTTCCTGTTTCTACCTGTTTATAATTTGTGAGCACCAGAGAATATACAGTAAATAAAGACACAGAAGGTGCACTGACTTTTTGTTTGTCTCTGGGCTTTTATTTCCATTTCCATGTAACACTGATGAGGCAGGATGACAATCACCAAAACTATACAATGAATGAGTTTCCAGTCAGCTCATATGACTCTGTGTTTACAGCTCTTGGTTTGAGTCGGTGTGAACACGAACCGTACCGGAAGTAAAAGGCAAAAATGAGTTACATGTGTGAAAGCACCCTTAATCTTCTCATACTTGTTGGAACATTTCAGACAGTGATGTGATTTGTTGTGAAGTTATAGAAATGTATCTTTCTTCAACACAAACCTGTGTCATGAATCAAACGCTGCTTAGTGACTGCGACTGCAAACTCATATGTTTTCACTCTATTTTTAAATGATTAATTATGAAGTTGTAAGAGAATGAAAAACAGCTGGCCAGTGCTGGGAAGCAGATGGATGTAAGACTCTAATGAGTGTGATAATCATCAAGCTAAAATGTCTATTAATAACACTCAATGCAGTGACATTGCTAAAAATTTCCCAAACTGTAGATTTTCAATGAAAGTAGATGATCTAATTACAATCTTCTTCTTCTTTTTTAAAAAAAAATATATTTTTGTGTGAATTGAAAACATCTTGAATTAATACAAACTACCTTGTGGTTTAAGACAAGAGATTAAACATTTAAATTGTTACTAAAGATGAGAAACAGCATTGTTCTAGACTTGGATGGGAATTTAAGAGCCTGCAGCAGACTTTGATCCAGTAGAGTGGCTTTGATTGTGGGACAAAACAGGTGTATAAGGCATTCATAAAATCCATTGTTTTGTTTCTGTGGCCAACAGACTTGCGAAATACGAAAATAATTTTGTGTATTTACAGACAATGTGACATGCTGAAAAATGTTTTTCCACATTCCAAATGCTCCAGCTACTCTCCCATATTTTTATGGTCCTGCTCACCATTATTCAATGAGCTGTCATAACATATTGTGCCTGACTGTACCAGTCCCATTTACTTTATCAACTCCATGTTTCCCCTGTCCCATGCTGTTTGACATGCATATTTCTTGATCCCACAAGTGAACATTATTAATCTAGAACATAGTGTTTCGATCCTCTCCAGCATGCGTTGTCCTGCTCAGTCACATCACACAACAACTGAGAGCATCCTGTGTCTCTGCTGCTTGACATCAGATCCTCTGTTGAATCAGATGCCTGCTCTTTAACAGCCTTCCTGGATCCACTGAAACACACGGAACTCGCCATTAGTGTAATCCCTTTTATCTCACTTCCTGTTTGTGTGTTTGTAGGACGGCATCTTACCACCATTGTAAGCCATGCATAGTAGGTTTTTGTATAAGCATTAGTTCCTCTTGGTCCCCTCTTTGGATTTGTAGCTTTTCTGTTTAGTTTCATGCTTTCTCATCACAGCTTTGTAATAAATAGTCACATACTTAACAAGTTGGAGTTGCTGGACATTGCTATAACTCTGGGTTGTTACAATGAAGAATAACAATAAAAACAATAATCACTATACATGTAAAACTAATAACTTATCATTAAAAATGTTTAAAGATAAGCTTCCGTGTCCCTTAGGACCCAGTGTGTTTGTTCTTGTCATTGTTATATATTGGTACAAATATTTCTGGAGAAAAACACTTATGCTGTTTCTCATAGAGACATCCCCTTAAAAATTCCCAACAGCTTGTTTTGATCAACTATGTATTTGTTACCAGGATATTATTTCCCCCACTCCTGATTATTCACAAAATAATATCAAAACCCAGCAGAACACTGGGTTTTGTGCGGGAGTATGATGAGTCCTTTGTGAGTACAGCAAAATGACCTAGCGAGGGTTAACATGAGCAGCACTGTGTTCCCTCCTCCTGACATTGACTGAGTACACACACACACTTTCCCCGCTGAGGCCAGCACACAGCCAGAGAGGAGGGACTGTTTGCAGCTCTGAAGGCCAGCTGTCGTTCGCTCAGAGCTGGGTCTTTTCTCTTACTTACTTCCCCGTTCTCCACTGGCCTCATCACTCCATGGGACTCCAGACCTGGCCGCCAAGCAAACCACCACTGTCCTCTATGGCCTGCCTTGATGTGGAGACCCCTTCCATCTGCAGGGGTAAATTCAAATCAGGTGCTTTTTCTTTTTGTGTCTAACCTACATGCATTTCATTGTTTTATTTGAGTATCTGCGTAAAATAAACTAAAGTTTTTTACTCTTGTTAATCTTGACTGATGCTGGCAGCAATCGAAGGGGGGTTGTAGTGACGTAGACGTAGCCCTAACAGGAAATGACAGGGCAACAGAAAAGCTCATCACAATGATTCATGCCAAGCATCATTCTTACAGGAGAGTCTATTGTCTTCTGATGGATAATAAATCAAACTGCGTGGGAGAGATTTAGGAGACAATACTCATCAGTTTATACTGTCTATGTTTATATTGGCACTCGGTTATGGTTTTCTGTCACATAATATAAGCATGAATTCATGCCTGTAATGTAAGTACACACAATGAGCTTAATTTAAATGGAGTGCAATACACAGATATGCTGCTGATCAAGATTCTGATCATTATTTTTAATCTTCCTTGTTTGCAGTCGTCAGCAGCATATTCCTTTTGATTAGACCAGGAGTTGTGTAGATTCTTCCAAAATAATCAATGTCACTAGTGTTTGGGTTCTACATTATGTTGAACTTATTGCAATGTCTATAAAGTGACTGTAATGAAAATATTTGTCAACCTCCAAAGTTCATAAGGGAACTAAGCTACAAGTTGAGATTCTGTATTTTTGCATCCTATAAAAGTGATAATGTACAAATATGCTTTTTACTATTGTAAGAAGATGCCTAACACTCAAATGACAAAAGTGTATAATACAAGGGCCATTATGCAAGAGTTACATTCACAACATTTTATTTAAATTATATGTCAGTAAGTTATTATTGATGACCTGACTGAATATAATTTCCCACACCAGTTTCTCAAACAGCATTTGAGAACACACTTACTCATCGGGAAGGAAACTAACATGTTTTTTCATCACTTTGAATTTGGCTTCCTCTTAGGCCCTTTTGCTTTGGGAAAAATAATATGCAATACCAACTGACTGCCCATATTAACATTTTAGCTCCATTTTATCTTCTATTCTCACTCAGTGCTCGTACATTTCTGTTTTGTTGAACTGATAAGTAATGGTGTGGTTTAATTTAAGAACATGTGATTGAAACTGTTTGATACTTACTGTTTTCCTTTGTGCATTTGAACAACCACCTCCATAAATGTTACTTACTCAGTTGTCAACTCAATAATTACATACTTACAATATAAGACCAAGTCCATCAATTAAATTGGACTCAGGTATACTTTTTTGCCCCATCTGAGTGCAAGTTGTAAAAAAATATATCTTTATTACTTTTTTGATAAACTATATAATCTGTATACATATGGTTTAGTCTACCTCTGGTTATAGATGCCTCGATCTTTACTAAAATAGGATTCTGTTTAGTGTCTATGGTATTTATAACAGTAAAATCAACATAACCCAATGTCAGACTCTTTCTAAACTAAATTCAACTTTGTCTGGACAAGAAGTATCTGTCACCACGCCAAACAGTTTTTTTATTTGTACTGTTGATAAAAAAAAGAAAAGCCAAATAAAATAAAAGGTCTGATGGGAGACCTCCAGGGATGATTTGCTGAGAACAACATGGGTCTGAGATTAGAGATTACATCAGTAGGCAGGGATTTCAGCAGAGCCTTCTTTCTGTGTTTCTCCAACAACCTCTGTTTATGCTCTGCTGGTGAGCTAGAGAGCGGAGCCAGTTTGCATCACGGAGAGGTTAGCCAGGGTTCAGGTTGAACACATGATGACACAAAATGAGGAGGACCCCAGGCATGAGGTGTACCCCCATACTGATGGTAAAATAAATCTCTGCATTCTCTTGTGGTGCTGGAAGGCAGCTTTTGGTGTTATTGATATGCAGTTATATGCACTCATAAATTTTTTTGCCTGTGGCATTTTGTCCAAGTCACAGTGGATATGAATATTGAGACAAAGCAATGGCAATTTTTTTACAATCTCCTGGTATGATCTGTCTCAGGCTGACCATAACCCCCCTGGCCTGGGTTTGTAATAGGAAACACAGCAGGCGGGGCAGGCACACTGTGTTCTCTGCTCCAGAGTTGATGGGCTGCTCTGAGACAAGACTCAGCCTCCCACCCTTTGCCTCAGCACTTGTCACTCTGTGTTCTCTTGCCCACCAGTGGAAGCCCGTGAGCGTCCCCTCAGCTCTGCATACAACTGGAGATCCCACCCCTTTAACTACCCAAAGATTTCATGGTTCCCAGGCCTTGTTCTCACAGCTGCCCAGTTTATTTTTGCTAGAGTGAGTCACAGAGGCCTGTTCAGACGCAGCGCCTTTCCCAGGAGAGCAGGTCTGTGTGTGTGTGTGTGTGTGTGTGTGTGTGTGTGTGTGTGTGTGTTTGTGTGTGAATGGGAGTAGCTGTTTCCCCTGAGCCACTGAGTAGTTCATGCTAAGCTGGCTTCACTACAGTGGTGACGATAAGGGTCTCATGTACCTCACACCGGCGCCTCATTCGTCACCATCACCCTTTACCCTCCTCTTCAAACTAGTGGTGTTATTCTACTGAAATAACATGTCCACGCTCACTTGTTTATAAATGTTTAAACTGGGATCTTACTACAGTTTATATTGATGGGAAAATAACACTGAAGACCATCCAAGTACTGTATGTGGGGCCTGCATGCTCAAGACTCAACAATTTCTGCTGAAGGACAGTCGTGTCTTTGATGTGTCACACTTTGCTTTCCACCCTAAGAAGTATTACTTTTTAAAACAATTTATGAAATTGACACGATTTACTTGGCTTTTTCTGGTGTCGTGACCATCTCCTTGCATATTATCATGACCGCAGCCCTAACATTAATCCCTCTTTTATCTGCTTGTACTCTGTACTGTAGTTACTTTGTTTGACTCCTCTGTGTATTTGCATCCCACACAGAGATATTGAGTCTCATTGGGAGGGATCTCAGCCAATCACATTGCACGGTTCAAGTCTAACTGTTGTAAAACTTGTGGTACTTTAAACAACCATAGTTAAAACCATACAGGAAGTGAATAGGATGTCTGTGGTGGTGAACCCGGTTTACCGTTGGGCCTTTGGGGTAGCATATTGATTGAGAAATAATAAGTACTTTGTTTTATTTGAAGTCTGGCAGGTTTCACGGTTAAAGCCAGAAATGGTTGTTAGTTGACTCAGCGGACTTGGCTTTGCATGGTAAACGTTCAACTCTGACCTTTGTGTCTCTGCACTCTCACAGTCCTCCAGCTCTGTCTGCAGCAGAGGAGAACTCGGGAGCAGCTTGTGGAGCAAGGCATCATGCCGCGTGAGTATTCATATCACTAACAAAAAGTTACAGTTTATGTGACCAGTATGTCTTGAACCCAGAGTTCCTTTATCTCGCTTCTACCTACTTACCTTTACTACCATGGCTTTTGGAGTGCATATTTGCGGTGCCATTAACAGTGCCATGTGACACAGGCAAGACCCATGTAAACATTATGTTTACTTGCATTTAAGGTGATTACATTGCATCTGTGTAATTGATGTTCAGGCTTACATTGGCAGTCTTTTGCTTTATTAGGAGAAGTTTTATTTTATGGAATTGTCTGAATGGTTTAATAACATTGTGTGTGTCTTCACATAAATCAATTGCTTTATTCTAGAAAGTGTGAATTGCATTGTCCTAATAGTCACTTAATTGTATTACCAACAATAAAAATGGCTCAAAGATTTAACAATAAGCAATCAAGCAGCACACCAGTATCATAAAGGAAAGAACTGGTTCCTACTTTATATCATCCATCCTTGTGACAAAAGTGGAGCAGACTCAGTCTCTGTGCTACATCTAATAAAAGATGAGCTGAATCTGTGACAGAATCATGCTGATAGCTGAAAAGGTAAAGAGAAAGAAAGACAGAGCTCTTCCTCTTTGTCCCACTCTCTCCTGAGAAGCCTCCTGCAGTCAGGCTTTCTTCAGCTCCTGTCTGGCTCCATGCAGGCACATGAGTCAGCGACTGAGCCTTCGGTGGAGGTCAGTCGTCCCCTGGCCAAGCGTGGCCTGCACACAAACCTCCCAGGCCATTCTCCACTAAAGTGCTCTGCTGCTCCCACACTTACTGGCTTATGGTTGGTATGCAGTGAGGTTTAGGTGATGAGCAGGAATGTTTTGCTTTGCTCCTCTGACACACTCCTCAGGGCGCCCCTTCGGCTGATGGGTCCTTAAACCAAACAGTGTTCGTCATAGCAGAGGTGACCAGTCAGTGAGTCGGACCTTGCATAAAGCAGGAGTTTATTCAGTTAGATCAAAAAGGAACCCTCTGCATGGATCAGTCTCTCTGCTTGAGTCAGTAAAACTGTCCCTTCCTGTTTAACTCCCATGAGCTCCTGCTTACTAATGTCACACTCTTGCAGAACAACAAAAACATGAATATAATGATTTAAAAATGGAGTTTGAATTCAGGCCAATTTATACTTTTCTTTCACCAAGTGTGTCAAACGTTTATGTTTATGTAACTATTTGCTGCTACACATCTAGCAATGTTCATTCTCTACAGGGATGTATATGTCTTGTACTTTTTAGGAAGCAACTTTGATAACTTTAAACTTCTTTTCAAGTCCAGTTTGTATGTGTTTGGTGAAAAAATAATAATAAGTGTATACAGTAGAAATATTGTGTAGTTCATATTGTTCTAGTGGTATTGTGGTTACATCATCCTTTTTGTTGTTTCAGAGATCAATGTGTTTTTTATTAATTAAAAGTACTCAAAAACAAAACAGCCAAAAGCAATTGGCCTTTTGGAAATATAAGGGAAAAGAAGGAGAAAACACCTTAAATCAATAATAATTTATTTTAAAATGGAAGGAACAGTTTCCTTGTGTGTGGAAATACAGTATATTGACCAAGAAAAGTTATGGATTTTGTTGATGGACCTTTTCACAGCTCTGAAAACACCTGCTGCCTTTCATGAGCAGATTCGCAACCTGGAGAGAGCCAGGGTAAGACATCAACTAATATCATCACACTGCAGGTCTTGATTTTATTCATCTAAATCTAGATTATGCCCCAAAAATATTCAGATTTTTTTTTTTTTTTTTTTTTAACAGACTGGAAACTTCTTAAAGCACAAACTCTGCAGCAGACCTGAGCGCTCGGAGCTGGTCCGTATGCACATCCTACAAGGTAATCATCCTCCTGTGTGTTTTTACTGGGAAATGGTGTCTAGATAACAGAGATGAACAGTGTGCTTATTCATCTAATCACACGTATTTCCTGTTTAAATTTGTTTTACATAGTTAGAACCAGATATATGTCTTTGAGGTTGACAGAAGTTTGTGATGTCTGGCTGAGTCTGTAATGAGTCACCCTGACAGAGCAGTTAAGAGGCTGACTGATGCTGGCTGGATTCACAGCTAATGATCCTTTGTGTATTTATCAGAAACGCAGGCTGAACCCTCTCTGCAGGCCACACAGATGAAGCTCAAGAGGGCCAGACTGGCTGATGATCTCAATGAGAAGATCGCCCAGCGTCCTGGACCCATGGAGCTGGTGGAGAAGAACATCCTGCCTGTTGACTCTGCTGCCGAAGAGGTCATCCATGGTAGATAATCATCAACACTGTTATATCTTCACTGTCAGAAGACCTAAACCATTCAAAAATTTTGTTTTAGACCTCTTTGGTGCCCCGTTCACCACTTAAAGTGACAGTCAAAAAGTTAACTAATTTATCCTTTAAATAAATAATAAGCTGTACTTGCTTATGTTTAATGCTGGCCCCACAGGCGATAAGGCAAACTACTCTAAGCCACCAGATATTTACAACTTTGATGAGGACAGCAGTGATGCCCTATCACCACAACTGCCTGCCAGCCAACAATCTCCCAGCTCCGCCTCTCCAAGGGAGTCTGGAGGGACTGAGGCCACTTCTACTTCCTCTAACTTAAACTCTCCCATACAGGTAGACCAATACCTTGAACCATTACAATTTATAAAACATAAACTGTCAATATCGGTGGACAAGCTAGCCTTCTTGGCAAGTTATCTCATATAGCAATTATTATACAATTCTTTCAACAAAGTGAATAAACTACTCATGTTTTAAGGATGGCTGGACACTGGTAGAATTTTTCACTTATTAGAAACATAATATTTTTGAACTTAATTTAACTTTACACACAGTGTACTAACCATGTATAATGTTTTTATCATTTGAAAAAATATTTTGTACACATTCTTTTATTTTCTGAGTGTTTATCAACCTGTTTTTGGTTATATTATCCCAGTTGAGGGGCTTTTCTTTCCTTGCGTGGCATGATGATTAACAGGCGTAGCGGCTTCACTGTTCTTACTGAACGGATCATGTGGTTTCTCTCTGTCTCTGCTTTTCTTAGCACTCCCCACCACCTAACTCACAGTCCACATCAGATGTAGTCAACCTCGTCTCCACCAGTGAGCAACTGAGCAACCAACAAGTATCTCCACTTCAGCCAATCACCACTGTTGTCCCCAGTATCACACAAGGGCCAGTTCTTGTGAAGGTGAGCTTCAGATATGTTTTAATGGCTTAGGTATTTCAAAGTCTTCACCTGTAAGTGTGTTTTTAAGGATGAGTTCATTTAAGTAGTTTATTCACTCACAATCGTGACATGAAATTGAGAGAGTGTGTTTTGCCATACTGAAAGTCACATCAGTTTTGAGGTGAACTGTCAGCTTTCAGCCAAGTCAAACACTGTTCAAAGAACAACAGGGTTTAAAGTCATATCACAAATCCTTGGGCTTAAATCGGTGCCAGCCACAGTTTGTCTTCAATTAGGGTCAAATGACAGGCTGGCCTTCCTCATTCAGGCTGTGTAAAATGTAAGCCAAAAATCAAAGGACAGGAGTGAAGCAATAACTTGTGCATTTATCATAATCCAGTTATCCTCCAAGCATAAGATAAACTCTCCCTCCCTTCGAATATGATAGGGGAATAAGCTTGACAAATTGAAGGGTGTGCTTGCTTAACTCAGCTTGAGTTTCTTGTTTTATAGCTAGAACTCGTTACTCTTATGCCAAGCCGTTTTCATGTGTATCCTGTAACTGCAGGTGGTAAAACAATAAGGGTCACATTTCCACTACCCGTTTCCTCATCCTGCAGTTCTCACAGGGTGTCGGAACAATGTTCCACCTTAACGCTTCAAGCTATAAAAATCCAGTATCAGTTCCAAGTCTTGCAATGTTGGTACTGGCAATGCTAACTGTATTCCCTGATAAACTGGACTGAGATCAGTCACAGGGATCAAATATCCTCCAGATGGTCCTCTCTGGTTTTACATGCCCCTGTTCTTTGTTGTGTTCTGTAGCAAAGCCTGCCCAAGCTTCCCGGCGATAAAAGCCGCAGCAAAAGGAGCAAAGAGCCCAAACCACGGGTGAAAAAGTTGAAGTACCATCAGTACATCCCCCCAGACCAGAAGCAGGAGCTCAATGAAGTGCCGATGGACTCAGCGTATGCCCGCCTCCTGCAGCAACAGCAGCAGTTCCTGCAGCTCCAGATCCTAAGCCAGCAGCAGTACAACTACCAGGCCGTCCCACCTGCCACACTTAAGTATGGCTTTATTCAGCAACACAAACACTCTTTTTATACAGCCCAAGACATGATTTGGCTTCCTACACAGAAGCTGCGAATTGGGAAAATGGATAATAGTTTAGAATCCCTTTCTAATGTGTACTCCCCTTTTCTTCTTGTCTTATTACAACAGACCACCAACTGAGGTACAAACCAGCTGTTCCAGTGTTGTTCTGAGTGGAAACCCTGTGTCTACCCCTGGGCAGCCTCGGCACACTCAGAAGAACCGCAAGCCAGCTCATTTGCCATCTAATCTGGACGAGATGAAGGTGACACATTGCTGCCTGCACACAGTCTGACTATATATGCACCTTCATGCTGCAGAGGAGAAGAAGCTAAATGTTGAGGTATTTGATAATAATCTTTCTTTACAGGTTGCAGAGCTGAAAATGGAACTAAAACTCAGATCTTTGCCTGTTTCTGGGACTAAGACAGATCTGATAGAGCGGCTAAAGTTGTATCAGGAGAACTCTAACATCCAGACTGCTGCTGCCATTGAGACACCAGCCGTCACGTCAGCCTCACAGTCTGAAAACATAAAGTTAACCCCGCCTGTGTCCCCTATAGCCTCCAAGGTGTCCAGTCTGGGCATAGAGGACAGTAGTATGGCAGACAGCCCCACCAAGCTCTCAGAAGCTCTGTCTCCAACTCACACTGCTCCCTGTGTGAACTCCCCACAGAGAGCTCCACAGGAGGAGTGTCCCACAGAGACACTGCCCTATGAGAAGGATTCTGAGAAGGACAAACGTCTCCATGAGAAGGAGCGTCAGATTGAGGAGCTGATGAGGAAACTGGAGCAGGAGCAGAGGCTGGTGGAGGAGCTGAAGATGCAGCTGGAGGTGGAGAAGAGGAGTCAGCAAGGAGATTCTCCACCTCAGCTCAGCCCTCTTGCTACCATCCAGGTCAAAGTGGAAAACAGGACCCCGTCAAACTGCTCAGCATCCTGTAGTTCTCCTGGTCTGCCAGTGTTGGTCAAACAAGAGGAAGTGGCAGATCAAAGCAACTTGGCTTCTCAAAATAAGTTCATCATCAGCCACCAAACTATCAAGCAGCCTGAAACCCTGCAGCCTATCCAGACTGGAGCTCAGATTCTCCAGCCTGCATCCCTTCCTGCCTCAGCAGCCACTATCCAGATCCCTGCCAACAGCATCAAATTACACACTACTGTTAGCAGCGCAGCCCCAGGCCTCATCCAGACCTCTGGACAGGTGCCACCGAAAATAGAGGCCTCAGCAGCAATACAACAGCAATGCAGCACTCAGCCAATGACAAAGGTAAGAAAACACACTTATGCTTGCACAAGCTGCCACGGTTCCTCTCTTTATTAGTCATCAGTATCAACTGAGGTTTTCTGCTAGTTTTGGATTTCTTTAAAATGTGCTAACTTGAGTTGCATGTGATCATCCATATGTGTAGTGTGTGCACCTGAAATAACTATTTTCTATGCAGTAAATAAAGATTAGGTTACCCATCATACATCTGGTGCAGTGTTTTTGATGGCACAATGTAATCACACATCAGAAGTTGATGCTCTATGATGGGCAATGCATCGTTTTTGTTGCCATAATAATAACAGTCCTCAGCTGGGTGGTGGAATCCTTCCCTATTCACATCAAAAGAAGGCTTGTGGAAACTTGGGTTACTTGAGCAGGTGCTGAGTGAAGGCTGACAGTAGTGCCCCGACTGCCCTCTGTCGTCCCTCTGCTCTGAGCCAAACAACCAGCCAGAATTAGCAACAGAAACCACAACTCAATGCTAACTGAGGAGAACACTCATGAGCTACAGCGCAGCGCTGTAAACAGTGCTCTCACTAGTGGGGCGAAAGGTGGTGATACTTCAACTGAAGACGGCCCAATACAAGTAACATTGCTAAAAAGCAAAGAGTGCAGACCAGTCTTCGTTTAGGTTGCACACAATTCCCAGCCTTTGTCCCTCAAAAGAACTTGGTTACTACAACAGAAGTGTTTATTGCAAAGATAGTGGTTGTTAGGATGCACTACTTTTCCATGCATTTAGGAGAGAGCACACTGATGGCATTAATACACTCATTAATCCTCCATGCTGACCTGTCTATATTTCTGTGCAGACTTGGAGGATGGATAGTACAGCACATAGCTTACTCAACACATTCCCAGCAAGTGGATGTCCTGTGGGAGCATCCTCTAGCCAAGCTGGTCCTAAAGGACCTGCTAATAAGGTAGAGGTTGATCCTTTGGTCTCTTCTACTGTGGTTTACTTACTAATTATGTAATGAGTCAATTGCATTTGAATGATGGTTTGTATCAGATGTATCCCGTTTTTCCTTTGGTGTAAAGGGACTGTTGTCTTTTCCTGTTAAACAGTCTCACTGTACCAGCCAGCCAACTGTCTTGCAGCAGCGAAAATTCACAAACCATGTGTCAAAGTGTAAAGACCCACCCCGCTACGAGGATGCAGTTAAACAGACACGCAGCATGCTAACAGATGTTCAGGTGACAAATAAATACACTGTTTTGTATAGTATATCCTTTAAATTGTTACAATAGTCAATCAAACATTGACTGGTATTTTTATTTCTCTGCAGGGTCCCACTGCAGCTAGCCAGCAGATGGATGACCTGTTTGATGTGTTAATCGAGAGTGGTGGTGAGAAATACTTTTCTTTTTTTAGGGGCACTGGTAAAATAAGACATTAAGTCCAAATAACTATTAGATTCTCACATTTTCTCTACATTGTTTTCAGAGATCTCCCCCTTCGTCAGACAGGATTCTTCCAGCCAAGACAAGCCTCACCCTGTGACAGCCAGTGTAACCACTCTTCCCATCAACACAGTTTTATCACGCCCTCCACCTGTGGTCCAAGTGGCCCAGCAGCCTTCTGCACCGCTCAACCCCTCGACCCAGCTGGAAACCCTCCTGGATGGCACACTGGGTGCTCACACTGAGCCACAAACACTTAAGCTGATGGAGGAGCTACATTCACCTATGGTTACGATGGAGGTGGACTTTAATGAAAACACACCACCCTCTGCTTTGAACCTGCATAGCAGCAATATGGACAATATGGACTGGCTGGACCTTACCCTGTGTGTGCCAACAGAGGGGGTCAACCCTTTGGAAATGTCAACGCCAGTGGGCGTCTTCTCTTCTGACTTCCTGGACTCACATGAACTGCACTTGAACTGGGACTAAGTGGAGTCAAGGTGAATTCTTACACCTATCAGACTGTTTCCGATACATTTTTTATGCAAGTGAGGATGTATTTTGTTTCATATGTGGACAAAAAAGACCTTTTGGAGATTTAGCTTTCTGGCCATATAAATCAGCTCAGTAATAATCTAATTGTGCAGTGCCAGTTTAAAAGTTGCTGCACTGCTTCCTTTGAGGTCTTTAAACCCTCTGATTGTATGGGGAGACTGACATAAAGTAGGACTGGTACTGGCAGATTAAGCTGACAGTGGAAATAGCTTTTAAATTTCTATCTTAAGTTATGCCACTTCTTTGTTATCAATCTGTTCTCATCTTACTGGCTTATTTTTGTCTTCTGAACTTAATGAATGTACAGTGTTGTATGGACCATGATAATGGCAGAAAGAGCAGGAAAATGTCCTTATCCTGGTTAAAAAACTATGGGACAAACACTGCATGCAGCTGGGGGCTGTTACTGTATGTAGTTCACTTGTCCCTGTCTTGGAATGATTAGCACTATCAAAACAGATTGTAAACACACAACTGCTAAATGTGTGTATGTACATTTTTAAGCATAAATCAGATGTTAAACTGAGTCACCATAGTGTCAATGGCCCACAAGTGGCCTAGCAGCACTGACCAAATCTTCATTCCTGCATCTGTACACTGTTTAAAACATACTGCACATTTTGTAAAACCAGTTTTACGAGCATAAAAAGGAGATTGTTCACTTGGCACAGCTATGGGGAACTAGTCACAAGAGCCACCTGCTGTGCTCTATCAAGACTATATCCAAATGGATGATTATAAATTTTTCTTACAACTCATTAGTTTCTTTAAAGACAGGAAGATTGGTTCTTAAAGGGTTAAAATGACTCATTAAAGGTCAGATGTTTTTTTTGTTTAAGTAGTTTAATCAAAAAGCACAAGCGTTGCAGGTTGTACCAGACCACAATCTGTGTGACACATCTTTCAGAAAAATAATCAGTATGAACCACTGCTCATTTGTGTTATTCACTCACTTCATATTGAAATGCATTACAGCTGATTTGTATTGTAGTGACATCTGCTGGCGACATCTGAATCTAATCAGCCTGAGCTAGCAAAGTTGGTAGTCTGACTGGTTCTCTGTTTTTTTCTTAGCAAACTGCAAAAAGATGACCTTTGGTATAAAGAAAATACATTTCCATGTCAAAGATGTTGTTGCGATGTTGCACATAATTAGGATGGTTTCTGGGCAGGTTGAGTATATTGATCACTACACTGAAAACAATGTCTAAACTGGTATTGGCTTCGAAACCGACTACCTGCCTCCTCATCCCCCTACCAGCTAAACTTTCTCTCAAGATCTCATATCTAAAACATACCATGCTGAATATTAATTTATCCGTCCCCACTGGCTTTAAGACTGCTATGGTTAAACTTCTGTTTGAGAAATCACACCTTGATCCAAGGTCTCAGCCAGCTCAGTAATTATCAGCCAGTCTCTATCTGTTCTTCTCAAAAGTATTAGAAAGTTGTGACTAAGCACCTTTCAGCCCACAGATTTAACTGTAACCTTTTTTTAACCTTTTCAAACTGCATTTACTAGTTGTAAATGATCTATTGCTTACTCTTACTATGGATTCAGATTCCACCTCTGTGCTCATATTACAGAATCTCAGTGGGGCTTTTGACACCACTGATTATTAAACACTCCTAGATGACTGGAAAATCAACCTCCCTGCTGATATCAGACAGTCTGACTCTCTTGAGGCCTATAAATCCAAACTTAAAACGTATCTTTTTGCCTTAACTTTCAGTAAGCTGCTTATTCTTTCATTACGTCAGGACTTGTGCCTGTCAGTCTCAATGAATCTATTAAACCTAATACTTCTAGTCCATGATTGTCCTGCCGACAGGAATAAAACTGTAAACTTTCTGAAAACCACTGCATCTCTCTAACCTTCTGTTTGTTGTCCCACAAGTCCAAGCTGTGTGCCTCTCTCTCTCTCTGTCTCTGTCTGTCTCTCTTTTCCCTCAGGCTTCACTGTGTTGGACCCTGGGATCCTGGGATTTCTCTCTATCTATTTGCATGTCCATCCTGGAAGAAGGATCCCCTCCGTTAAAGTAGTTTTTTTTCTTATCCAAATCAAGAGGTTGTTGTATACTGTACAGATTGTAAAGCCCTTTAAGCCAAATTGTGATTTGTGATACTGGGCTTTATAAATACAATTGGCTTGGCTTGTTTTTTTATGCCATATGTTACATTTTATATAAATGTAACAGAGGCTATTTTGGATTTCACAGTTGGCCTGTGACCATCCCTAGTATGCCATTTACCTTTAAGTGATTTTATATAAGGAAAGGCCTTCATTTTTGTAACCCTTAAAGATCCAGTGTGTAACATTTAGGAGAATCTATCGACATAAATAGAATATAATATTCATAGGTATGTTTTCCTTCCCATATAATCACCTGAGTATAGAAATTGTTTTTGTTACCCTAGAATGAGCCATTTTAACTACAGATGCTACGGGTTGCCTTCCATGGATTCCGCCATGTTGAAAGTTTCTACAGTAGCCCAGAACGGACAAACCAAACACTGGCTGTAGAGGGGATCTTTTTCAGTTTCCCAGCCACTGGAGTTTCTCCTACATACTTCCCAACCCATTCTCATACCCAGGTTGTCACATACAGACGCCAATGGTGTTCAGTTACTTGCAGTCTGCAAATTCACTGCTAGATGCCACTAAATCCTACACACTTGTCTTTTAAAAGGGAACTGAATGTGTTCTGTAACTTAACTTTTTTTATTCAGCGAAAGATCACTTTGAATACAGATACAGACATATATAATATACAGAATTAGAGAATTAGTCAACACCACATGTTCCTTCTGACATGTGCACCATTAAAACCAAAGTGATAGCATCTGAATATTTGATTGATAAACATTATTCCTCAACCACTGATATTCAGTGTCTCCTGTACAATAGAGAGTAAGCTAGGCTAGTAGTAAATGCGAACAAACTCTGCAAAGGAGCCATGCTGCTGGAATACTACTTCACCATTTGGTCTATGTGTGATGCTCTATTAGTCTGAGCTTCAAGTTCTCACCAGCTGCTTTTCACTCAGAGCTTTTTAATAGTTTGGATTGACGATCGACACTTAGGACATCTGTGTGTGGTAGATTTGAACCTATCGAGGCAGAAGGGAATGAGACAACAACCAGCCACGCAGCTGAAAAAGAAGGAACAGGAACATAATATAATGTCAACAAACCTGGAAGCATAAACCACTGTCTGCACATATAAAAACAGGTCCAACAAAGTCTGATTATATTTTAATGCAAATATTTCACCAGGGTGGAGGGAACGTTTTCATACCCAATCAAAGCTGTCATAAAACACACCAGCCAGGTCACACTGCTGACAGAGGTATAGGTCTCTGTCATGACGTACTCCCGACACTCTGGGCACTGCGTCCTGCATGGGCAATGTGGAAGTTCTTCCAAGTCCAGAATCACTGTAGGGGCTGTTAAGAAAAGTAAGAATCCATTATTAGTTTTCCCATCAAAAATTAATTTCTCATTATTTCTCTAAACCTTTCAAAAGGAAAATAAAAAAAAGGAAACACTTTAATAGCTATTAAAAATCTTCAATTAGTGTGAGTTACATAACCTGAACTATAGTAAATGAATGATGAACTGGATCAATGCAGAAAATGATTGCACTGATGGAGCTAAAAATTTTTTTTGATAAAGCACAGAAGTGGGTTGTAAAGCCTGTTCTGTGTGACTTTGTGAGGAGCTTATTTTTGACTTTATAGGGTGCAGGTCTTGCTATGTGCAGATAAAAGCCCCAAATTGAACAGTTGAACAAATGAGCATTCGTGCATTACTGACTCACCAGGGATAGTAGGTGGCGCCTCAACATAGAAAATGTTTGAGCCAGGAACAGGAGGCGGAGGTTCAACTTTCTGAATAGAGTCGAAACTAACTTCTAACAAAGTAGAAAAAATGTGTTTATAAAATCAAGGTATGATGGAGTAGTGATTTGCTGCAATAAATCTGGACTCACCTTTATTCTTTTCTTTGGTACTGAGGGTGTTATTATAGATTTTTTGGAGTTCAGCCTTCCTTTCTGTCAATTGTTTCAGTTTCTCATCAATGCTGGCAATCTCCTGCTGACTTGAGGCTGCCGCCTCTGGTAAAGAAATAACAAACTCACATATATGAGAGATGCACTAAGGACGGCTATTATTTTTATTTAGTTTTCACGCTCTCTTTCATGTGTCACCTGTTTGTCCAAATTCAGCACGATTCCTCAACTCCTGAAATATGCACTGGATTTTTTTCCTTTCCAGAAGTTGCTGTCTCTTAAGTGAAAGATGTTTCAACTCTGTAGATAGCTTCTTTAGCTCACTGTGTGACGAAGTCATGGTGGATGCTGAAAAGACATGGGGAATTGTTGGATTGTTTTTAGCCTGGGTTTGCTATTTTGTTTACTGTATTTTTATGCTTGTTTGTTGTGCATAATGTTTCATACGGTAAATTAAAGCAGTACTGTATATGTAGTATGGAAGCAGTGAAATTTAAAAAAATCAGAAAATAAGTTTTGTAGTGAGAATAGTAAATGTACCATCAAAGATATATAATTGTTATAATTTGAAACTTTAAAAACAATGTTTTGACTTTTATTTACAGCTAACGTTTACAGAAATGTTCTATGCCCAAAAATATGGATTGGATCATCAAATGTAACATTGTACGCAATTATCTTTCCTCACCTCTTAAGATATCATTACCAGACTTTTTAGGGTTTTTAGCATAATTTATTTGATATAAAAATGAACGTAATATTGTACAGTGGAGTTACATAGAATAGAATAGATATGATATATAACTCTCCAAATCCTTCAATCCATAACAGGCAAATCTATTTACAACTATCATTTGCATGTTTCTCTCCCATCTGAAATATGACCCAGCAGTATTTTTCAGGATAAAATAGGCAGTATTTAATAAATTTATATATTTTTTTTTATTAAAAAGACTGTTTTTGATGCTGAACTTTGATAAAAGAAAAAGTTATGTGTCTCCAACAAACTTGGTGAATTCCATCAAACTGTCCATTGTACATTTACTATATTGACTATCAAGCTCTATATTAAATTCATCAGAACTCCTGAATGGCATTTTAAGTTGGTTGATAATAAAACAAGCTACAGGTTGTGTACTAAATATTGAGTCACTTCTTGAACAATAAAGTAAAATCAACAATAAAGACTCAGTTGAAAAATATATATAAAACAAATTCTGGTTTGAACAGGCAAAAGTACCAAAAATCAATAATTTAGACCTGAAGATAATTGCTGGAATAATACACTTACATGACACAAATCTCAGGTCCAATGCTCATAACGGTAACTGCATAGTACTCACTGCATGAATCAAACATCTCAACTATTAACTTCATAGTACCATTCAATCTGTATTAAAGATAATATTATAAAGATATTGTATGTTTTACCTAATTTCCCCAGCTGCTCCCAGAGTATCCTGCGCAGGTGACATTTCATACTAAGTTAACAAGAGCATATAGTGTTCACTTCTACCAGGAAATATTCAAATCATCCAGTATACAACTGCCTTCTTTGGAAAGTTTTACATAATGCTCTGTTGAGTTACCAGCTCAGGTGAAACACAACTACACAGGAAGAAAATATTGTAATATATTTTAATATTTTTGAACTATAAAAAATACAAAATGGGCTTAACATCTTGTCTCCAGAAATCTTATTCACATTCAGTTTGTAAAGTGAGATTCTGGATAAATATTTAGAATGTGTACACAAATCAAGACTGAAACAAACAAAAAACAAAAACAAACGCTTAAAATAAAACAAGTCATACAATCATAAACATCATACTTGTGTGTAAAGTCATTTCAAGTCACACGAAAGGAAATGGTGTTTTTTCGTGACGTGACAAATGTTGGTTGTGATATTTCACTTTTTCCGGAGTCTCTTCATAAATGTCACTTCATCTCTGTTCCTGATCCCGTAGCTAAAGATATAAAGATTTTTTTTAAATCCAGAGAGCAAAGAAATAGTCAATCAGTGGGATGAAGACGCTCAAGCGAGATTTTTTCATACACTTACTCTTTAAGCCTCATCTTGTCATCTTCAAGCTTTTCCCCTTGAAAGACTAAATGATAAGTTCTCCAAACATATCTCCTACAAAAGAAACAAAGGAAACAGTGGGAATGTAACAAATATGTTTTTATTATTATTTAAGTATTATTTAACTGTGTTTGAGAGTGTGTTTACCAGCTGACATGTTTCACTCCTCCTTCACGTTGTTGTTTCAGCTCCATGAATCTGCAAATGGCCTTCTTCAGGTCAAGCACAGTGGCATTTTGCACCACCACAATGGCTTAAGAGGAGGAATGTTTTTTCAAATAATAATTAATACAAAAATAAAGAAAATGTTATAATTACACTGTGTTCCAAATGATTATGCAAATAAGATTTCAATTAAAAAAAAAACATTAGATTTTTTGTTTTTTAATAAAAGTTTTCAATTGTGCTCAGTTTCTCATTGGCTGCTCCCATGTCGTAGAATCACGCCATCAATCCTGACAGGTTGTCTTGCTTAGTCGTTGCCAGGTAGCTACATTAAAAGGAAACGTACTTAAGAATGGTTCTTCCAGTTATTAAAGCAACAGCAGGTTTCATGCAACCCATAGGCCCCCGGGGAAAAAAAACTCACAGCGTGACACGCTCACTTCAACCACGCACCCTCCCCGAAACACACTGGATACGTATTAGAATATTAAGAGAGACTCATCGTCATGACCAAGGTTTGTGTCTGATTCGAGCGCAAGACGAGGGTTGTTAGAATAAGGGCATGTTAGGAAGTTCTGTACCTCTCGATAAGAGCCGATGAAAAGCACGGATGAGTAGAAAAACACCCAGGAGTTTGAAGCGCGGGCCTATCTGGAGTCCCAAGGTCCTCTCACGCAGATCCTCCAGAGGCGCCTGGCGTGCATAAAGATGTATTTCCGGCCACCCTTAAACAAGCCACAAGGGAAGATTGCAGTGGGCTCAGAATACATGAGAGATAATTGTTATGACGTTTTATTCCTGATGTATGCCGGCACATTGGATGGTCAGATGGATGGAGGGAATGTTTTTTGGAGCTGGATCATGTGAAAGTAAGGTGTAGCCCTTTAAGGTGCTGAAGTGTCAAAATGACCTCGTGCAGAAATATGAGGAGTTACTAACTGCCCATTTTCTCACGGGTAAAAAAGACCGTGCTTCGAGTAAAATCCATTTTCATGAAGCCAGACGCACCCATCGCCATGCTGCACAATACATTGAGGCTTGGCGCTATGGCATTAAGGAGCAAAATCACCGTGTGCCAGCAACATCGCCTGACATCAACACTATTGAGAACTGTGGAGCATCTTTAAAAGGAAGCTTATGAGGGTGGGTGGCGTTGTTACCTCAAAACAGCAATCTGGAGCCAACTCTGGATCCTCAAAGGAAATACAGGCAGAAAAGTACATGCTTCAAGTTCAGGATGATAGAGGTTTAAGTTATCAAAGAACGTAGTCCTAATTAACCGATCTTTAAATATTTTTATTTAGGGCGCCCGATCGTAGAGCTGAGCGAAAATGACGGAGCGTATGAAGGCGGCGGTTGGATCCGGCTGTGGCCTTTGCTGCATGTCATCATCTTTCTCTCTCCTCAGCCCTTTCCTGCATCTTCGCTGCCTACCAATAAAGGCATTAAAAGGCAAAATCTACATAAAAAAAAAAAAGTGTTTTCATTAATACGTTGGATTTGAGAAAAATTATCCCTCTAATGCAAAATACAACAGAGTTCGTTTCATCTTTTGAAACTATTAAGTGGTGACTCTGTTTTGATTAATATTTGCGAATGTGAATTTGATCTGTTGCAAAAATGCATTGCATCATTGTTAATTGTGTTTAAATAAGATACAGAATAGGATATAAATTTGGGTTGAGGAATAAAAAATTATATTGACTATTTAGTAAGAAAAGGAACAAAAACAGTATATGCATAATATTTTGGAACACCGTGTATAAATAAATTAACAATAAAAGTTGTGTCTTGATGTTCACAAATTAAAGAAAATACATAGAATTATGTGTTCAGAAAATACATACTATTTTGTACTAAATGAACCAATAAAAATCTAAACCCTTACGCATTATTTCGCCATCTGCCTTTAAAACCTTCACTGTCATCGCCTGACCATACTCCAAAGCAATCTGAGAATTCACCTCCTCCAGCGTCACCTGAAGACAAAGATGATCAGGTTTAAGGAAAATGTACAGGACTTCTTCTCTATCAGTACAGATTCTTACAAACACATAAAACACATGTTCAGTCACTTTATTTATCAGATATACAAGCAGAGTTGAGATAGATAGATAGATAGATAGATAGATAGATAGATGTTCCTTTTAATTTGTGGTTTGTTTTTGCTCTGACATTCACTATGAAGAGTGGGAACTTAAATGTGTGAGCTTTAAATTGCAACTCCAGTGACGTTAAATATATCTCAAGAAAATATTAAGAATGGATCTAATGCATCACAACCAAGAGTGTGAATACAAGTGTGATTTAAATGTCATATTTCTCTATTTTAACACCTTTATTTCTACTAATAAACCAACTTATGTTTAGTTTTTTCATCACAGGACACTGCATATGAAGGGCATCAAGGACAAACCAACCTGGATAGGCAGATCACAGAGTAAAGGGTCCTGCACAAGCCGAGCAAGTCCCTCCTCGAAAATATCCAGGATCTCTGAGTGAGGAAGAGCGTCTTCATCTTCCTCCTCTGCGTCTGGAGCTGCCATCTCTGTCAGGTTCTCATTGTCAGGCTCTTCATCCTTTACAGACTGTCCTCCTCCTCCTCCTCCTCCTCCTGCTCCCACAGTGTCCTGACTCTGCTCCTCCATCATCGACACTGAAGTCATTCAACAATGGATAAATGTTCAAACTACTGCTGTTCTCTAACAAGTGAACGAACAGTAAAAAAGACTACTTTTGTTCTTTTCTTTCACGGCAATAAGCCATGAAGTAAACAAACCGTGTACTGTAAAAGTTATTTACCGGAAGGCAACCGTAGCTCTGTACAAATGGTTCCCCTTTGTGGACGTAAATTCAGACACCACTTTAGTCTTTTCTTCAACAGCCAAATAATGTTGTTAATTCAACCATATTCATGGGTGATACTATTTTGGCGTTAAATTAACTTACAACCCACTTTCTCTCTTTATATTTTGTTCCCCACCGAACGCTAAAAAGTGTGGCACCTGGTTTCATCAGCTCGCCTTCCGCTGCTCCGCATGCGCCAAACAGTTTCCAGCAGGGAAACTATTTATCTGTGTGAATAAAATAGTGTACATCATATAGAATTTGTCATTTAGTTTGTCACGAACATGCTTCTTTTTTGTCCAACCTGCGGAAATGTTTTAATTGTCGAGGAGGGACAGAAGTGCATGAGATTCGCCTGCAACACTTGTCCGTATGTACACAACATCACAAGAAAGGTGAGTTGTGTTTTGTTAATGTTTAAGTATCACATCTGCATCAGCACTGTTTGACTATTTCTTTGCTCTCCGTCTACAGGTAAATAACAGGAAGTATCCTAAGCTGAAAGAGGTGGATGATGTTCTTGGTGGCGCTGCAGCTTGGGAAAACGTGGACTCAACTCCTGGTAAGTGACATTAAAACAACCCATGGTACAGTATGTAGGCTTGACACATTAGAAGTGTTGTCTGTCATCTCAAAAATCCAGTATTGTCTCGGTTATATAAGTCAATGTCTGTGCTTTATATTATTATTGCACTGGTGCCCACTCGTGTCTTAACTGCTATGGAAAATAATACCCCCTTTTCATGTTTTGTACTTGAATATTATTATAAAATTTAATCTCAGATTTTATTATCAACAGAATAATAAGCAATTTGTTTATAAATGACAAAAAAAGAAATAGGACATGCAAAAGTGTGTATCTTTTTAGAGATACATGAGTAAATTCTTTAGATCATTATTTGGTTGTGCAGATAGGATATGTCACATGCTGAATTATCTGTCATGCTGTTGTTATCATAGTAAAAATGTTGTTAATATTACATATAATCTGTGATTCAGACATTTTTACATTCAGATTTTTATTTAGCAATTGCTGTTTTTTTATTTTAAGTAAGTCACATTACAAACTAATTTCATACTCTGAATTCAAACTATCATACACCCTAAAATCTGCTGAGATACATTATCATGAAATATTTTTATTTAAATTGAAGGTAGATTAAATATTAGTTGTTCTCTTAAAGCCTAAAATGTGAAATTCTGATCAAATATTTCTCAGTATCTCAAATCCTGATGCCAAAATTATTCTGCATGTCCCGTTTTAGGTTATCATAACTTTTTATATGCCTACATATGTGCTGTTTTTAGACTGGAACACATACAATAACACATAAGATCATTTCTCTATTTTTTCACAGAACCACATTAAGCCCTTTGAAACTGTTGAACTTCCCTTATCAAATCAAATTTCTCCAGTGTGTGTTTTACTTGGTAAAACTGTTTTGATTTTGAAGGAAATCTTTATTAGACTAAATAAATGCTGCTCGCACACACAGATCTGTATTTGTTTTTCTTGGAGAAGATTATTGTGTGAATTTCAGTCTAATCGGGTGAGCTTTCACAGCTGTATTGCTGCGTACATGTTTTCATGTTTTACGCAGTATAAAACCAAGTATGGGAACTCCAGGACTTATTGTGGTTCCAAACTGACACTTATTTCTGTTCACAGAAACCTGTCCCAAGTGTGGCCACCTACGGGCGTATTTCATGCAGATTCAGACGAGATCAGCTGATGAACCGATGACGACTTTCTACAAATGCTGCAACGCCCAGTGTGGACACCGATGGAGAGACTGAAACCTTTGCACTTTGAACATTTTCATGTATTTAATGCTGATGTGGCATGATCCCTCATTCCTTCTCCCTCCTTCTTGAGACATATTTATTACCAAAAGGCTCTGGTAGTCATGGACACTCTTCTGATGATTTCAAGTGTGTGTGTAAGTGTCACTGAAGAATCTTTAATTTCCGTTTTTGTCCTGGCAGAGGATATATTTACATACAGTGTGCACTTTTAAGGCATAGTTCATTTTCCAAATAACATTAAAATGAGTTTCAATGAAAAATCATGTTCTGATTTTTATTGATAAAATAGTACCTGTATACAACCGTCAAACAAATTTTGACTTACATAGTTATACATATCACAGACATTTAGAGAGCAATGCAGACCAGCATTATTCACAACAATGGCATACAGTACTTCGTATTAAAAGTTCAATGCAATCCTTCAACTCAATTTACGATCTTGCACAGCTTAGCTAGCCTCGCGGGAAAAGAAATCAAATGCACATAGAGTCCAGGAACTAGCGAGTAAGAATTATTCATTTTTGATGTGTGGCTCATGCAGACAGACTCTGCATTTGGTGAGTGAAGGTGAAAGGCAGTTCGGGCATGCTGTGGTGGAACTATGGCTGCTTCATTGTTAGTAGTAATCTCAATGGAATCACAATGTCACTTTGAAAGATGACTGATACAATCATTTATTTGAAGCTTATTCCTAGCAGAGAGTTCACTATTTAGTATTAGTCAAAAGATATCTTTATTATCTAACATGCATCTGAGCAATGCAGGTACTCTTTAAGGGCTGATGCCATATTAGGAGGGTTACAGTGTTATGTGATGATGGTGCCACCACTGTCATTTGTTTGCCAACATACATTTCTATTTTAAACTAGCTGTTTACTGTGGCGCCAGCAATCAATCATCCAACTGTATCGGTGGGAAGATAAACTAGTGTGGAGCGCTGCATCAGATTGACACACTGGCCAGAGAGAGGACAACTGAGATGTCATGCAGTGTGTGTCCATAAGTAACCGTAAAAGACTCTGCAAGCTCTACTTCGAGTCTACTATAGTCTGAATAAGTGCATGTATGGTGGCATTCACTCAGTCCCAGTAAAAGCCAAAATTATACACTGCTAATTTTTACTCATGAGCTGACACTTAAGTTTTTTTCCTTCAAGCCAAACTCTCCAAAAGACAGCTGATATTGATGGTTTTAAATGCATCAGAGGGGGAAATGTGAAATTCTAACTTAAAGTGCAAATCTTGGCTTCATTGTCAAAATTAAGTACATCAGAGGGCATCCATGTGTTTAAGAGCTCAACCACCTCAACATGTTGTGCCTTCTGACTAAAGCCCAGAAGAAAATACAGCCAGTAACATCAATCTTGGGCATTCCCAAACAAGCAAATAGTTTTTACCAAGCTGAAAATAGTGCGTTAGTTTGCTCACATTCAGAAAGGGATAATGATAAAAGGGAAAACTAGGTCTGTTAGAACAAAATTATCAGACATGGACAAAAATGTTCACAGTTCTCAATACTTACTTGCTAAAACAGTGGATAAAATACTTGAAATAAATAAGAAAATAAACAAGAAACCAAATCCAGCAAGTTTGACTTCAATACACTTGCTTCTCAGCAAGATTCACAGATGTTTTTTAAATAAAAAAAGTGATCATTTTCACAGCTTCCTCTAACTGAGGCTGTCTTTTAGCAGTAATGTGTGTAAAATCACAAAACCTTTTCTTCAGCTTTCCGTATAGGATTAGATGCTGCCTATCCATCTCGGTGGATGTTTTGGTGCCCTACATCTTCTGTAGTTCAGTGAGATTTGTACATTTCAAATGCTTGTTTATACATGAAAGAATTAAGCTGAAAGATATATACAGTAAATATTCTGTGAACTAATGAGAAAACTGCACTTACAATTTAAGAGGGCTACACAACACTTTGCAAAAATGGGGGGGTAAAGCCTGTCACTACCAGCAGGAGGAGCTGTGAGTTAATGTGTGTGCATGTACATGTCTGTAGAATACAGCTGTCGGTGGTTAGCATATACGCTTGTATGTGTAAATGTAGCCCTTACAGTAAGGGCAGGTGTGTGTCACATCCTTGAGGTCATCAATCAGGCAGGGAATCAAGCAACAGCCGAGATCACACCTAAAAGTGAGAAACAGACAGACAAAAATATTACGCTGTAAAAAGTGAGAGTTTCAATGGAAGAAAAAAGAAAACTTTTGTCTGAACATCTTTCACCATAGCTCCTGTGACAAAAGCAGTAAATCGCATTTTATTAGTCAGTGTATACCTTGTTTTAGGACAGGCAACGACTGCTTGTTTACCCTGATTTTAAAGAAGTGAAACCAACTAACTACAGCCATCTTACTGGAACAGAGTTCACAGACAGCCCAATATGCTAAATATGCAATACAACACAGACCAAATAAACGTTTTCAATGAATCAAGAATATATTGGTGAAACTCCAGATGTCTGCATATTCAGAGCGCATTATTTGTATGAGTGATTGCTTTGCATATAAACGGCACTGCTGAGAAAAGGCGTGTGAACTAACAGACAGTTAAACGTCTGACAGATTTTTGTATACATTTTAAAAGATTTCAAAAGATTAAAAAATGATCATTTTGTGTAATTGCCAGCTTGAAGTTCTGAATGCAGGTAGAGCTCAATAAAAATTAAGTCTTATCTTTAATTATATATCTAGAGACAAACAACAGAGTGCTGTCACATTTAGGTGTTACTCTCTTTAGTTGTATGTGTGTGACACATATTTACATAGCAACGGGTGTGAAACAGACAAAACCCATGACAAACTGTTAGATGACCTTAATCAATCTGCTATCAGACCCATTTTCTGACCGACTTCTAACCTGTGATCTACTTACCCTACAAAGAAGCAGAAGAGGCAGAAGAGTGTGTTCATGAGTCCGACATCGTGGGAGATGCGAGTGATGATTGCCTGCTGACAGTGCGGACAGACAGTCTGCACCGGTGAGGTCTGGAACATTTCCCCCTGCAGTACAGTCACAGTGGTGGCTGCTCCTGGAGGAGCCAGGACGGTCGCTGTGTGACCTCCCATATGGACAAAGTGACTGGGACCAGGACCCATCTGTCCTGGCATCGGGTGAGGAAAGTGACCGGGAGGAGGTGGGTAGTGGCCACCTATACAGGGGGAAATTACACTTAATATATTGCATTGTATATATGTTGAGCCACAACTACTTATCATGATATTTGGAATAAACAAATCAAAGTCTTGCACAACCCTAAAGCTCCAATAAGTGATGTTAACAATGAATCCAATGACTGACCTAACCCACTAAGAATTAACATCCATCACTGCAGCTCTATGTAGCTTTTAGTCATTTTACACTTTTTGTTTTGGTTTGCATACGGCATGTGATTGGCGTTTCATACGCCAATCACATGTATTGGCAGTGTGTCTGTGCTTTCGATGCTGGTGTGTTTGTTTAATGTATGCAGATGGTCTGCAGCACCTGGTGGTGGAGGCATTGGCATAGGCATGGGCCCTTCTCCAGGGACATGTGGGGGAAGGAAGCCTGGCTGTGCGGCCTCATAGGGTGGAGGACCGTAGTCTGGAGGCAAGGGCTGTCCCTGTATAGGAGCGGTCCTTACTGTTTCACACATAAAAAAGGAAGAAAATGGTGTTGAAGACAGGTGTACACAGGTTTGAGAATACATACTGAAAAATTTGATATTAATATAATATCACCATGGAGACTATAATAATATCAGTCTCCATGGTGAATGTTTACTCAAGCCACAATGATTAGAAGTTGCTGTACAGAGGCATACTATGGAGTTTTAAGATGGCACTTTGATAGTCATGAATTAAAGTTGCAATAAAGTATGTTTAAATAACAACAGTGTGTTGTTGAAAAATCAGACTCACAGAGTAAAACCTTTACTTGTACCACTGAATGACTCAAGCAATTGCTATCACGCAGCTGAGCAAAGAAAACAGCCTCCACTTGTTTAAATATTAATAACTACAAATACTGTGCCTGGGAGTACCTATTAACATTCACCACAATCCTGCATGTTTTATGTCATTACCAGGTTGTCCATTCTTCTCCTCAATGAGAGGGGCACTGGGACCTCCAGGGTATGGAGGAGGAGGGTCACTGGACATACTGGCCGAATGTCTGTATAGGGAAAGGGGTTGGACACGGAGCTCCCCTCACAACTCTCCTGTCGACTTTTATTCTGTGAGGGAAAAAAAAATTTACAGTTTGAGTCCCATGGCTCATTACTCTCTGACACAGACTTCTCCCAAGTTATAAAATGTCCCAGTAACACTCAGAGAGGCTAATTAAGTACTTTTTGTACCTGCTGATGTCAAACAAGTACTGTAAGTTTCAGAACTGATTAAAATATAGTGGAGTTTTTAGCAACTCATGTTCTTCTGTTGCACCGGTTGCTCGGCCTGATGTTATTGAGTAATCAAATAGCAATGTACAGCTTTTCAACTATGCTTTTGTGAAATGCTTTCCAACCAGTGCCACCCCACAGAAGGGTTGTTTTGATCTAATAACTCAACAGAATTAGAATTAAGGTCAAAACACTTGTATTGGGTCAGGTTAACCCACTATTACCTCAGTGCTTTATGCATACTGGGTCAGTTTTTTAACCCAGTGATTAGAAGTGCGTTGTAAAATTATCATGATGCACCCAGTCTGTTTTTGTGAAGGGTTGATGAATTTTTTGATGTAAAGAAAAATAGTATCATATTATATTCATTGTATTCAGTCATGACAGATATTGTGAGTAAAATCAGAGAGTAATGAGTGAGTACACTGATGATCATCGGCACAGTAAGGTAAGCATTAACAAAATCGACCTCCTTTACACGTCTGAATGAAAAGACGACACAAGTGAAAGCTCCTCAGTCCTTTCTCAGAGCTGAAGTTTCAGCAGAAAGCCTGATTTTCTCTCTGGCTAAATGATGCATGCTGTAGCTGAACGCAGTGCTCAACAAATATCTCAGAGAAACAACACTGGAATTTGTTTCCAGGGAAATCTGAACACAGCAAAAAAAAAAAAAAAAAGAGTGCTGTGTAATTGCATCCCCTCTTCTCATTTCTCAGTTTGTACATCCTCCTCGCGCCTTAGTTCCTTCTACCTGAGATCTGAGCAGAGGAGGCGAGGAAGAGGAGAGAGGAGGAGAGAGGAGTTGAACAACATGAGACATCCTGGGGATGATTTAAATATGTGAGAGAAACATGCAGGTTGTTACATTTGTGTATAAACATACACATGTTGAGTGTGTGTGTGTACTGTGTACTGTACTTTATACTACTTTACTGTACTGTACAAAGGGATTTAATAAGAGAACGCCTAAAACAACAAACATCTAATAAATACAACATGTATGAAACCCTGTGTTTAACTTCACTGAGACAGTGTCAGTTGTGTGTTGCTGCCTCTATGTGGACATTATATCATTAATCATATGTGCAATAGTCAATATATTCACAAAGAACTGGTTAACAAGACAAAACATTTACCTGCGACTGGGGAAAGAAAGATTCCACCTGAGGAATGGCAAATGGCAAATGTGGCACAACCTGTAGTGACAAAAATGTTCATGTCATTTTCTCACGGTACATCTGCAATGATGGGAACAATTAAATGGCTATAAATAGTAACCACTCTTTTGTGATCTGGTGTTCATTCAGTAACTGTCAGGAATAATAATGTGACTTTAGTGGCTGAGGTACGGCCCACTTTCTCCTGAGCTCCCTTAAATAAATCACAGCTGAGTGACACCGAAAAGGAAACTTATAAAACAAAAGTGAATCACCAGAGCAGTAGAAGTCTTGATGCCTGTTATAAAACTAACTTACCAACCTTCATCAGATCAACGCAAACCAACCAGCCAGCGGATGTTGTTGTTTGTTTAGTCAGATAATCCAGCTCAACGCTACTTGCACAACTAACCATGAATAACTCGGTTACGTAATGGAGGCTAGGGGCCAGCACTGACGTTAACTTACACTGGGGGCGCTTATTTACTACAATATCTCATTATTATTATTAGTAGTAGTA